AATACATCTTAGGAGACTACAACTCAAGTTACAAGGACAGGCTGATTCAGCTCAAATTACTCCCCCTCATGTACTGGCTGGAGCTAAATGATATAATGTACTTTGTAAATGCCATCAAACTCCCATCTGGAAATATGTCTATTCTAGATTATGTCTCCTTCAGCAATACATCTACTCGATCCTCTACTCACAGTAAACTCAAACATAAATACAACAGAACATCTAAGAGTCATCACTTTTACTTCAACAGGATTGTACGCATCTGGAACAACCTACCAGCCATTAACCTCTCAGCATCTTCACATCAATTAAAGCAACAAATCATCAATCACTTCTGGGATCATTTTTTATTGCATTTTGATTCATATAATTCATGCACATATCATTATTTGTGTCCCTGTAGTTTTTGTTCATGTACTTAAATTTTGTTTCTTTCTCTTTTCTTTTTCTTTTTACTCTACTATAAGGCTGCTTCAGTAGTTGGAGTCAGTCCTTCAACACTTCTATTTTTTCCTGTCCCATTCTTATGTTACTTATCCTTACTTTTTGTTCTGTGTGTTGTAAAGTGATAATAATAATAATAATAATAATCATCAGTAGTGAAGACTGAAGTTTTAAACATACCATCATCTTTATTGCAACCTTCATGTGGCTTGCTCCGATGCATAATGGCATACAGTACTAAAGGTCTTCTTTCCAGCAGCCATTCTTATAAATAAGGGGTTAAATTTAATACATAACTAGTTAATATTAAACCGGAACTTTTACAGTCATGTGTGATGCCTAGATATTATAGACTACGTAACCGGGATTGGAAACTGATGACGTCACGTGTACAGACTGTGTGATTATTAATGCATGAAATTGCATGAATTTACATCAAAATGGTGAAAATCATGAAGAATTGTTATGTTTGATGAGCCGTATTAATAATATACTGTGATGTAGCTGGTTCTAAGTAGCTTAATCGCATAAAGAAAATACCAGAGATCATGATGGTACCTTTCTCTTTGTGTCTCTATGCTTAGTTCGCTTGGGAGAGGTACAACAGATCGGCTGCTTTTTGGCATTATTTTGGTGGATTTCTCCTCTCAGTAATATGGCAGGCAGAACTAACCAGTCTATTCTCATGTAGCATGGCCTTGTGCATCGTTTTAATCATAAAATGAAATTGGGATAGCTAAAGCTTGTTTGCAGGAGGGAGAATAAGGCATTATCTCTTGTCACGGGGAGCGCACTTGCTTTAAACACCTGTTTTTACACAGCTAACACATTTTATTTTTGTATCAAAGAAAAATATAAACATGTGCGTATATTATAAGAGCCCAAGTACAGGTGAAATAGCTTGCGGGACTTCACTAGAGACCATTCTTTCCAGCCATGTCAGGCATTTTCGTCCGCCTCTCACTGTCACAGAGACTGTACCTGAATAGTTACATTGATTTGAATGGGATCACGTGATCTGTTTCCAATCCCGGTTACGTAGTCTATAATATCTATGGTGATGCGATGGGAGGGTTCGGAACTTTTCCTATCTAATGTGACCCGAAAAGGGGCAAGCCTGAAATGCGGATCAAATGCGGATCGAGCTGAAATGCGGATCAACGCGGAACGCTCTCGGATCTCTATTGAAGTACGGAGCAACACGGAAACTGTACGGATCTGTCTGCAATAATGATATCTATACATCAGGAGAGAAGTTTATCAGCTCTTTTTGAGTCTTTGATAGGAACTTTATCATCTTTGCAGTTTCAGTACATGCAGGTAAGCTGATGCTTATGATCACTATGTTGATAATATTAGCCTGTGTTTTATGACACAGATAAGCTGATACAGGGGCGGATCTAGGATTTAATTTTTGGGGGGGCAATTGTGAGATGGGAGGGGTAATT